CCAATTAATGAATCAATATCAGAAGTCCCTTTTGCTTCAAGTGTAGTTTAAGGTTTGCTCACTCTCATATTTTGGATTCTTATTTCCTTGTGCAACCCAAAAAACAAAAGTACAAGGTAATTGTAAGCTTTGCTGCAATGTAAACAAACGGCCCTAAAGAATGTTCAACCCACGATGCCCGAGATCTTAAAATAAACTTGCTGACGTAGCGACAATGCATAGGGTTTCATTGCTTGCTAAAATTGCTCAGGATCTGAAATTAGTGTCAGAACTTTTTATCAGAGACTCAATGTGTAATTTGTAAATCAAAAGCCCTCTGTTTTATCTTCCCAGTGAAAGAGTTATCTCTTGCCGCACTGTCAACCCGGGCTGTCAAGTTCCATCGATGTCTCTAAAAACACGACAACAACAAGAAAGGAAAAATTTTTGTCTTCAAGCATGCACCGCCAAGACTCGTATAAATAATGTCCATTGCTTGTCTTTGTGGCATTGTAAATGAAAATTTTTTGCTCAGTTTTGCTTCAACGAGCGCAAGTGAAATTTAATATCCCTCTCAATTTTCAACCACCCGCCGTGTTGGCCAGATGACAAGCCGTGGTAACACAGCGCAGAGGACCATAATATTTGTAACATCTCCACACCTGTTAGGTCTTAGAAGTGCGGATTCAAACATTCTATACCTGCCAACTTTTTCTGAGATGTAGGCGTGAGATTTTTATCCTGGGAGTGCTGGGATTTTTGAAAACGACACGATCATTTCCGAAGATTCCCGAAGAAGTCCGAAGTCTTCCGAAGACGTCCGATGTCTGCCGAAGACGTCGGAAGGCTGCCGAAGGCGAAGTTATCGAGAAAACATCTATCCACAAAATCAGAGATCGCGAGGAAGGTATTGTCATTTATTCATTTTACACATGGTTTTCGTTCGTTACATGGGTCTGAGTTAACATATTTTTGGAAATTGTGTCCGGCAAGACGACAACAACTCACATTTTTCAATCAGGCGTGAGAAATTGGTCCGCAGGCGTGAGCGGGCGTGAGATCGAAGTTTTCAACCCGCAGGCGTGAGACTCACGCCTAAGGCGTGAGAGTTGGCAGGTATAACATTCCAGTGATCCTTTTTATTTCTAAAGTCTTGATTTCATGACAAAAGCTTCATTGGTGCGAATAGCAATCTGCTAACTATGGTCTCAACGTCAACAAGGAAGATCTTGTCTTCAGCTTTTGATATCGATTGTGATTTGACTGACGTGGACCACAGTCCCTCTAAAACAAGAAAAGAAAATGTCACACATTCCGTTTCTTTTGAGAGCTGGAAAATTTTAACTCAAATTCATGACCATCTACTCCACATTCAAATAGCTAAATGGGAAGATTCTTGTCTGAGCGATGTTTTCTTCGGTATCTCTTGTGTTTGTTTTCAAGGAGTTCACGATTTCCAAAATGACTACTGTCGTAAGATAAGTAAAGAATTAATTACAAATCTTATCTCCAGGGTAATTAAAGTGTAATGTATTTGTAGTTTAAATGTATGTACATTAATTTGCTAAAATACTTCGAAGATGTGTTTCAATGGCAATTGGTTGCACTCCATGTAGCGCATTGCATGCAAAATATTTTTAGCGTGTGCCAATCAGCAGCTTCCTGCTCGTCGGTGACATGCTTACACCTGTAAACAAAGAGATAGCTCATACATACTAATGAGTCTAAATATGCACTGACGCATTTCAGAGCAGAGGTGTCGGTGCATCAGCCTGACGCATGTATGCATCTGGCCTGACGCATGGACTCGTTTTTCCAGACGTGTACTACACATATATTTTGGTCTGCTTAATTCTGGCCTGCACTGTGGTTAAAAAAAAAATTCCAACATTGACAGACAATTGTTACCGGTAAAGGTCATGAAAAAAGCTCAAAACAACTGAAAACTCACTGGGTTTCTTGTGTGTGCAGAAATGGGTTAACTTCAAAAGAGTTAACCTTCCTCACATGTAGTAGTAGTAGTAATAGAAGTTTAAAGAAGCTAGTTACCTGATGACTTGGGCAAAGCATTGCAAACATTGGATTTCCCATAGCATGCTCAGGGTTGGTAAACAACATGTCCACAGAGTACTGAGCTCTCTGACCTGCTGCCACCTCATCAATGGGGGGTGTTGTCTATGGAAATCCACACAAGATCTTCTTCAGGCACAGCATGAAAAATTCTTTCTTGACATTTGAATCCACAGATTTTGGAACAGGAAAATAAGGTCCAATCAGGTCAAACTGCACTATGTAGCTAGTCTTCTGGCACTCACTTGCAATGGTTGATGTGAAAGTATCATGCAACACAGGCAACTCAGCATGGGCCATAGTGAAACCTGATATTCTTCCACCTTTTAGGAGACACAGGCTACTTTCATCTGGACATGAAAGAAAAAAATGCGAATTTCATCACAACAGTAATGAAGGAACCAAACATATTACAAAAACGTACACTTTATGATCTCCTCTTATTGGTGATTTCTTTTTATACAACATATTATAAACTGCAAGTGGTCTCATAATGCAAGACTATGTGCTTGCAGTGCCTGGAGGTCCCTGGCACCTAACTGTTGCTCTTTGTTTTTCTTGGATTACAGCGTCACCTTGTAATGTGAAAAGTAATAACATTTCTTCCCCAACCTTTATTTCATCCCACATCAAGACACCAATTCCCAGAGACTGGGGATGTCCCTCACTTTCACGCCGTCATTGGTACACCTTAAACTTCTCTTGTTGTTCAATTTGTAAATCTACTCAGGAAAGGGGTTGGCTCAAAAAATTCATGAAGATGGAGGCTCCAAGTGATGCGCTCCTGATGGAGCTTTGGTTTAATTCAGTTTGACTGTAAGATAATTGTACGTAAAGTAATGAAGATTGTAATGAAAAACACCTTATTATTCATTCAAAATATTTCCCTGATTCTCATTACGGAATCGCGCCTGTAGATACGCGTCGCTAGTAAATGCAAATTTTTCTGTCAATCAAATGTGTCCTATTATTTGTAGGTGGAAATTGGTAAGACATCGTTATTGTTTTGGAGACAATAGAAGAACAGAAGATAACAGAAAGATCAAGTTATGCGGTCTTAAAGCGTGTTGCGTGACTTAAATCAGTTGGAGCATTTCTCCTAGCTTTTCCGCATTAAAACGTTGGAATGAAAAGTCTGAAGCTTAGCTTTTAAAATCTTGACAGCCAAAATAAAAGGGGTGCCCCAAAAGGCAAGCATTTGGGAATTCAAAATCGATATTTTTGTCTCCAGCGAAATCCGGCGGATTAACAGTAATTTGCATATAAGCATAAGTGAAGCGAAATAGAATACAAATTGCCGTGGTTGTAAACACAACGTTTCCTCAAAGTTTTTTTCCTTTTGAAAGCGTAAATTCGCATGAAAGAGCTCAGCTTGCACAAAATAATATAAAATGAAATGAATCAAATCGAAAAGAGGTAAAAAAAAGTCAGGATATTTCAATTCGATGGAAAGTAAGTGATTGGGTAGGTGATTTGCATACTGATAAAAATAACTTCTAGCGCAGTTCAAAACCGTTCAGCTTCCCGAATTGTTTTCCTGGAATTCTATACATTCTGCTGGCCCAAATCGTTAAAATATGTTATGAAGTCAAAATATTTATCAAGTTGAGCGTTTGCATTTCCTTATAAAACAGAGAGTTGCGCGAAAGCTTCGATCTATAGATTTTCTTAAGTTAAATTACCTTTGTATTGTGGAAACAATACCCTAACACTTGAGCCTTGAATCAAAGGATGCGACATGCATCGGCTCCCTTTGTGAGCGCGCAAATAGTCATGGGACCCGCGATTTTGCGGGCGACACGGATCTACAGGCGCCGTTCCGTAATGGACTGGCTAAAAGCACAAGTTTAATTCACCATTACCACTTACAGATGACCAAATTTGGAAGAATTTTGTGTTTAACGAGGAAATGACGTCAAAAATGGAGCCTTCTACAGGTTAATGAACCATTAACCGAGAAGACCTGGGGACAAGGTTGAGTTGTTTTGGTTGTGAAAACAAAAATGGCCGACACTTCACTCATTTCAAGAGTAAGAACTACAGCTGGAACTAGGCGAAGTAAAAACATAGCAAAAACAGCAAGGAGACAACTCGGAGGGCGACATCTGCTATTTGGAGAATATTTGCGGAGCTGGACGAACCTAAACGTACAGCATCGAAGATGAACTGAACATCGATGGATCAATGGAGGTAAGCATGTTTTAGCTAAGTTTTTAAACTAGGAATTATTTTGAATGAATAATAAAACAATTATTGAATTCGGCTTTCATATCTGAAGAATTATGGAGATCTTGGAGATCTCCATAATTCTTCTTAAGATACTCAGCCTCATTCATTAACTGTTAATTAACTTTAATTTCCCGCTTCTGTCATAAGGCTATCCCCTTTTTTTTCTTCGTTTACCGTCCAATGCGTTTCCTGATATTGGCTCGGTGGGTCGGATTGAAAAAAAAAACGTAAAAAAAAAATTACAAGAAGTGTCGGAATAGTAGGCCCTGGTACCCAAGGACGACATTAACAGTTAACATTCACATATTGGGATTAACAAAATGTACAATACACTGTAAAAAATGTTCATGTTTTTGTTCCTGTTTTTCTCTACGCTTTAACTATGCTCATTTTTCAGATTAAAAGAATTATTTCAAGTGAAAAATGGTGTAAAATCCGGGTGTAAAATGGTGAAAATGCCAAAAATTGGGGTCGGTCGGAAGACGGTAAACGGAGAAAAAAAAGAGGATGGGCCGAGCTTAAATTTTCGCTTAAGCTTATGTGGAAACAACATTTCACGTTTACTGAAACTAAACTTCAAGCAAGGACCTCTTCTTAAGGAGAATATAACTCAAGATTTCCTTTCTAAATAAAGAACGGGACGAAACTTTTTAAGCAGGAGTTAAGCTTACCTGTGCGCTAAGATACTTATAAGCTGAGGGCAAGTCGTTTAATGCCACCATGTCGTCGTCCACATGGTACAGTATTAGAGCTATTTGCGCCTACACCGGCACATAGGTTGTCTAAAAATACCACAAAACGAGGAACAAACCTTTGTAATGGTAGAAGCCATGGGAGAGTCCATATATACTGCACGGTCTTGGCCACAAATTCGGCACAAAATGTAGCATTTTTCCCCCACTTGCTGTCGATTACCATGCCGATTTGTTTCTCGTTCCCAGAATCCTCGCGGCACTCGATTTCCAGCGAAAAACAAAGATCAGAGTTCGCTGTATGGGAAGTAAAGAATCCCCGAATGCTACATCAACAAAAAAACAGCAAAAAGGTTTTTAATACAGTATAAATATTGCTCCTTGGTGTGGTTTTTTTTACACATAGGTTGCCTTCCATGACAAGAAAAATATTGTCCGTTGATGTGACACTTATGATTTGCCAGTTACAAACACAACCCTTCATGATTTCAATTTTTCTTCACTCGAAAAAACCATAAATGTACTGAGTTTCAAATCAAAAGCAAATTTAGGAAAAAAACATGCTATCCAAATACAGTAGCATATTTAGAAAAGAGTAAAACACATCATACTAATCTTCTTTTTAAGTTATTAGTTCCCCTAGTGAAGGTCGACATATTATCTACCAAATATCATTTTTATATTCTCATAATGACATGTACTTTCATCAACCAACTTGATTCCTTTTTTGACTTGATTTAAAACTGATTGGATCAGTAACCTTCTCCTATAAATGAAGCGTACTTTGAATGACATAACTTAGCTATTATAACAAGCGCCACAGACAAAATAAATCTATTTCATAACTCTGTCTTGGAAACACTGCAATTTCCTTGTTACGAACCTCTACCTATGTACCAAAATTTAACATACGAACTATCACTAGATTATAAAAAAGGCCATAGATAATTCACCTACCAGCATGAAGGAAAATTCAATATGCCGCATTCCTAGCAATTCATTCAATCTGATAGGGGCATTACTAATCAGGATTAAATATTAAACTCTATCTTGGCTTACAGTTGTATTATATTTTAGGGGCATTACTAATCAGGGTTGAATATTAAACTCTATCTTGGCTTACAGTTGTAAATACTCAGAGTCATTTTAATATTAGGGGCATTACTAATCAGGGTTAAATGTTAAACTCTATCTTGGCTTAAAGTTGTAAATACTCAGAGTCATTTTAATATTAGCTGATATTAGTCTGCTACACAGCCGTTTTTAGTGTCGTCACGCAACGCTCCTCCCCACTGGTTAGTGGGGAGGAGCGTTGCGTGATCACACTAAAAACGGCTGTGTAGCAGACTATTTTGATATCCAAAAATATTAAATTACAAAAACTATAACTACTTACTAATCCATGCAGAATCTGTCACGGTATCCATATGATCCATATCATCTCTAGCCTGCGTAGCAAGCGTTTCCGTGTGGTTTAGGAGCAAAGAACGAACGAGAGTCAAAGACCGCGCGGAAAATGGCGTAAGTAAAAGAGCGGGGAGGAGAATCCGTTCCTTGGTCTTTCTTTGCCCCGAAACCAAACGGAAACGCTTGCTATGCAGGCTATATCATCTCACTCCACGGGTACAGCCAACTGACGCTGAGCTCCATTAGAGGATATTCTTGCACCAATAGAGAAGGAATACTTGTTCTAATCTTCTACGGTCCATTTTTAATCGTACATGAAGTTCCTCTTCCAAAGAGCTAAAATTCTGTTTAATTTTTATTCTTGCTATTTTTGTGATATTTGTCTTTTGATAATCAGTCCTTTTAGATAACAAAATAATTTCCTGTTATTTTTGCGATTTTTGCGACATTTGCGGCCTTCTCGAGGCCCTTCTTCTTCCATCTTTTTTTGTACTAGAATATCTGGACAGGATAAAAAAGAACAGCGTAAGAATGCAGCTAGGCGAAGGCCAAAACATGTCCTTTTTCCGTCACTGATTTGAGGGGAGGGGAGGGAGGGAGGGGAGGAGGGGGGTGTAAGATTTCTGTCCATTTTTTACAAGGTTATACACTGCATTATTATTATCATTATTCAAAAGAGAGTGAATTAAATAGATTGAGCACGTACTTTACCTTCGGTTTTTTTCCCAGTTAAACAATAGTTAAACTCATATCGTTCTGCTCTTATTAAGATCTGTCGTTTTAAAAACCAATGAAACAAGAAGCAGTGCCGGATCCAGACCTTGAGATAAGAAGGAGGCCCGGTCATCCACACCTTTAGATAACGTGCGGCCCGGTCCCCCCACAAATATTTTCGGCCCTTCGGGCCTCAGTTTGGTCTAAATATAAGGGCGGGGGACCGGGCCCCTCCCCTGGATACGTCACTGAAAAGTGCCATGCAAAAGTCCCATTACAGATATTTCTTACATTTACGCGACAACGTATTGTTATGTGACAATCCCCATTGTTTTCCCAGCTAATAAAAAACAATCTTTTAAATAGGTGCGGGATCGCCCAAATTTTCCCTGTCAAGGCAATTGGGAGCTCAAGCAACGACGACGGCGACGTCAACGAGGACGGCTAAAACGCAATAGTTTTAGATTGGCAAAACAAAACCTTTGCACGTTCATCACGCTTTTTTGTACATTTCTTTGCCGTCACTGGAAGACTGTAGTACGACGTGAAAATACCTAATTTCACGTTCTGTGGAGGACGCGAACACAAGACAACGCCATTCGTTTTCTTTTCCTCAACTTCAATACAGTCTTTAGGAATTCAACTCCAGAAAAAATTGTCAACATTTGACGAATTGAACGAGATGGAATAAGCGCGATAAATTTGGAAGCAGCGCGACAACATTTTTTAAGTGACGGTTTCGTAGCCGTCGCCGTCGTACTTGCTTAAGCTCCCTAATATTTAGTTGAAATCTCTTTTAAACCACCACCTCTCGTAAGTGGCGCAAACCAGTTTTTTAAAGTGGTGACTTGTTGTACGCTCCCAAGGACTATAAACCAGGCCGAACATCCTGCCCGAGTCTGCAAAGAATGGACATAATAACAATAATAATAATAGTAGTAATCGAATATTAATAATAAAATCTTTATCAACATATGACCAGTAGTAAAAAGATCCTAAGGGAAAGTTCATTTAATATGACAAGGGGAGGGGGGGGGATGAAGATATTGAAACTCGAAGCTTGAAATTTTAGCAGCCCCCCTCGCTAGCGGTTCAATTTTTTAGGAGCCCCCTCCTTGGTAGTCGAAAAAATTTCAGAGCCCCATCCCTTCCTCCTTCAATTCCTTTGCTCCCTTAAAAAAGATCGCTAGACTGTATTAAATATATTTACCGTTATTGTCTTCAATGGTTTATACTATGACAAACTTGAGATACAGTTGTGATACAATTTTCTAAAGCATTTTTGGGATGAACAAGTGTGTAATAATTACTGAGACTACACTTGTTATATCTGTAAACCACGTGATATATCTGAGTTGCACAGGTCATTAATTTGTTGAGTTGAAAACCATCCGATCTGTATGATGATGTCATGTGTTGGTTTTGAAGTATACAAATTTTCGGAGCCCCCCTCCTAGTGCAACAATTTTTTCAGAGCCCCCCCTTCGGGTGTCTAAAAATTTTCGGAGCCCCCTCAATATCTTCATCCCCCCTTGTCATATTAAATGAACTTTCCCTAAGAAACTAATTTACAAGATCACGTCATCATCACATTCTAAAATTAGCGGACACACGCTTGGCTAGCGTTTAAGCGGCAGTCATCAATGAAATCCCCTTTGTCGAAATTTGTGGAAAGGTGTCTGGAACCGCTTAAGCATGTGTGTACCGACCTTAAAATCTCAAAAGAAATCAATGTTTTAATCCAAGTAATAGTAATGTGTCGAAATGTGATAAGGCTTCTCATTCTTTTCTGAGAGCTTCTCGGCTAGGCGTTTGAGAAAGCAGTTGCAGTCGGCTCACATCCCACCGTTGGTTTCAAAAACTAGGAGAGTGAAAGATCCCATTTCAACGTCCAGCACTCTCTGTTGGTACTTCCGCTTTTCTCCTCCTGCTGCTCCTTAAAGATTGTGGATGTTGCTTTTCCCTGGTTACACTTGGAGTTAACATGCGTTACTCTGACATCGAAAAATGCTGTAACTCGTCGAGAACAAAAGTCCCCTGTCTTCATGTCCAGTCTTGCTTCCGGGATTGTTACCGCGCTTCTGAGGTTGAATCGCTCATTATCGAGAGGTTGTCGTTGTGGTTCGACTTCAACGTTGGTGCCAGCCTTACCAATAAGTGCGGTATGCAGTGGCGGAACCAGGGGAGGGACCTATGGGGGCCAGCCCCCCTTATTTTCAGACGAAAATGAGGCCCGGACGGCCGAAAACATTTTTTTTGAGGCCGGGCCCCCCCTTATTTCAGGGTCTGGATGACCGCCCCCCCCCTTATCTGAAGGTCTGGATCCGCCACTGGTATCAGTATGTTTCGAACACCATCGTGTCTCTGCGCCACGAACCCTCCCTTTTTGCATAACAGGGCATGGCATTCTCACCACAAACGCACTTGCTTGGTAAGTCAGATAGGGGCATATTTACAATTAATGAATGGGACTGAGTATCTTATGAAGAATTATGGAAATCGAGGAGGGTGTTATCCGTCAAGGCCGAGATTTCCATAATTGTTCATATGATACGAAAGCCGAATTCCATAATTGTTTTATTATTCGTTCAAAAGAATTCCTTGTTCAAAATATAGCTAAAACGTGCTTACCTCCATCGATGTTAAGTTCATCGTCGATAGTGCACGTTTAGGGTTGTTGAGTTCCGCAAATATTCTCCAGATAGCAGACGTCGCCCTTCGAGTTGTCTTCTTGTATTTCTTGCCATGTTTTTAGCCATTATTTCGCTCAGTTCTTACTCTTGAACCGAGTTAAATGTCCGCCAGTTTTGTTTTCACAACCAAAACAACTCAAACCTCGTCCCCAGGTCTTCTCGATTAACGGTGCATTAACCTGCAAAACAGCTGCACTCTTGACGTCATCGGTTGAT